GTGATACCACGGCCGAGCAGAAGACCGACGCTGTGGTTCGTCATATGAGTGAGATTACCGGATGCCCAATTACCCTCCCCCCTCCCAAATCAATGAATCCCCAACAATCCTCAAATTCTGAATCCCAAAAGGTCGATAAAGCACTTGTAAAGCCTTTGGTGTTCCAGGTGTCCATGGGCGACGCCGATTGATCAGGTGATCCGTGTGCTCGTTTACCGGCTTATTCCATAAAAAAGTAACCTTGTATTAAACGATATTTTTTTATTTCTTCGCAAAGCACTATTATAAAAAAAACATTCATTATTAAAACTAGTTAATAATGAATGTTTTTTTATTGTAGATTCTATTTTATACGTACTTTTATTGTCCTTTTATCTTACTTCATTTGGTCTATTTGATTGTTCTTTTCAAAGTATTCAGATAAGATACGCCGAAATCATATTAATATATTTCTACCATATGGGACCTCTACATGCCGCATAGTACATTGCCAATTGTCAAACCACATATCGTTAAAAGTCATAACTTTCCTATAAACTGAATAAAAAGAAAAAGCGTAACAGATCTACTTCTATGGTTTACGACACTTCTGCTATAAATCCAAGGTTCGATTCATAACCTAAGGCAAGCATACGTGATTGCCCTATAACGTTATTACTGTTATTGACCAAATAAATCGCATTTCGTATGCTATTTGAATTTATTTTGTGTAATAACCGTTGGCTGTAAAATGGTGTATATTGATTTCTGTAATAGATAGTATTATTGAATTTTGTAGAATATAAAATATGAATGTTATTTCAAGATCGGGTAGGCAGATGTGTCCTTGCATTTAACCTTTTTTTTCCAAGGATCTCTTCTAAGTATAATATTACAAGTATATTTTAATAAAGGATTAATCTAGCACTGAATAAAAACACAACCTTTTATTACCTACAGCTCTAAAATGTGTAATAATTACCTATCTTATCTTTTATAATTAAGATAAAAATTATAAAAAATATAGGATCTACAAAAGAAATGCGAAAGAAAGCAAAATAAAAAAAAATGCAAACGCTTGATTTAGCTGACTCTGAACGCTGATAAATCAAAATGACATAATAAGAATTAACATAAATTCCGACCATGTAATATTATTAGTAAACAAATTATATAACAGAATTATGTATAAATTAATAAAAAAATATTTCAAAATGATTTAATTTCTAAGAATGCTTTCTTTGGCGTGGACTTCGAGCTACTCGGAATGTAAAGAAGTCTTCCATATCGACACTATGGTTTATGATCGAACTTAAAATATCATATTCAGTTGTGACTCTTATCAATGCTGATTTACTGCATTGTTTATGGGATAAACCCCGAGCGTACGGCGAACCCGAGCGTAGCGCGCGTCGCGTTCCGCGCGCGCCTCAAAGAGCTATCAGACCACCACGGATGGGGCTTAATAGCGATACGGAGCCGCGGAGACCCTAAAGGGTTACCGGGACTCCGGTTCGAAGAGCAAAAGTACGAACGGGGTGGTTTTTAGTCAGTAAGAGTCATACGATGATATGGTAGAAGGTGGGAACCTAAAAAATACCGGTAAACGAGCAGACTGATCACCTGATAGTGAGCATACGGTGTCGCTCATGGACATCTGGAACACCAGAGGCGTTACAAGTGCATTACCAGCCTTTTGGGGATTAGGAATTTGAGGATTCAGATATTAGGGGCATTGGAGAGGGGGGAAGATAATTGGGCGTCCGGTGACCTCACTTACGCGACGACGACGTATTTGTCAAAATTCCGATCAACGATTTTATAAATACAGCATAATGATTATAAACAGTTGCTAAGTTAATCTAGTTTAAAATTATATATGCATTATCCGAGTTAAGTAGATTAGTTTCGAAGCACGCTTGGGGCTCTTAACTATGAACAGCATTGCGCGACAAACTATGATTTTTTATTATCTTCTTAGTCTAGCGTTATTATTACTTTATCGCTCAGTTAAAGATAGGTATTGTTATTTATTGAATTGAAAAAAATAAACAAAATCTTGAAAATAAAACAGTTATAATTTTTATTCAGATTACAAGGAAATACGGTACTAGAATAGGAAACAATACAATTTAGTTTTTGGTACAAAAATATTGCTAAATGAACGGCGTTTGCGTGTGAGCAATATGATCATAAAATATAACTTCTCAATAAAGATATTCGGATCAAAAATATCAGTTATTTTTATCTTGTTCTTAATCGGTTTGGACATGAAATTTTGCAGTTTGGCAAATCTTGAGATTTTTTTTTTAAGAGGGGAAATCATCGAATTCCTGCTCCCGCCTGGGTGAGGCGGGAGGGAGTGTCAGACTCTTACTGACTCAGAAAAACCACCCCGTTCCTTCTCCTGCACGTCGAGCCGGAGCCCCGGTTACCCGTTAGGTTCTCGCTGCAGTTTCGTCCAGCGGTAAATTTTGATTTCGTTAGCTTAACAGTTTGAAAAATGTCTTATAAAATAAAAAGACATTACCATATCCATTTTAATTAAAAGCTATGTATATCATAAAATCTCATCTCATTACGAAACTATCATAACATCCCACAGTTGGGCAATTGGTCCCGTTATCATTAACCAAAAGAAGTCAATGACTTCACTCGACAATGAGGGCACTACTCTTAATTTCGATTAAGTAATCGTTGATATGTTTATTGATGAGTTTTTGGCCATTGAGTGGTCAAGTGTAAAGTTTTTAGTTTGATTTTTGTGTTGTACAAAGTTCGCTAAATTTAAATCGTAGGATTAGCCCAAGAACAACTGCCGAGAACGAAATATCAGATCGAATCGTACTAAGTATTATACCTACATAGGTATTTTTTATTTATATAGGTTGGTTAAAGTCCGTCAATTCTGTCTATCGTATAGAAATAGACTGGTTCCCTTCATCTTTCTAGCATGAATGGTTGTCGAAGTAAATTACTATTGGGAACTAGTTAAGTAAACTGTGTTTCAGATGCGCCTCTGTTTACCCCTTTAGGCAATGTCTTTAAGTAAATAACTGTACTCAAAGTCATCTAGTACGTACGTGTTATTATGTCTAGATAAAGAAATTAGTAGATGGTGCCCTGGACGGTGTCCGACTAGGGCGCCATCATCACCACTGACCAGATTGGCGATATATTAAAGAAAGCATGCATGAAAAGACTGATGACTGTTGATATGAAGCGAAAGAGGTTTGTAAGACATAATATAACATAACATAACATCACGTCTTTTATTCTATATATATATTATATACATTACAGCACTTAACGCCACTGTATAATGTAACACCCCTTTTTAACTATTTATGTCATGAGTCCCATGTAATAGGGGGTTAGCCTATTGCCATATGTCGGGCACAATTCCAGACTCTGTGCTCGACTCTGTGCTCGGGAATCGAACCCGAGACCCCTTGCCTAGCAGTCATACTCGCGATAACTCGACCAACGAGGCAGTCTATGTAAGAATCGTAGCAATTTAGTGTTCCATTGTCTGCCTACGGGAAAAAGGCATGAAGTTATGTATATAATATAAAGAAATTAAAATAATATAAATTTAAGTACTAGGTACAGGCAGAGACGTATATAATAATAAAAACGTAACATACACTGTGATAAATAATAGGTGTTTCATTGTATATGTATGTGCAAACCTGCCTACTCTTTCCAGCATGAAATCATAATATTAAACTATCAAACACCAAGCGGTCACCGGTGACCGCAACCTATTGTTCTATAATTGTGTCTATAATGACGGTACTCGGCGAGTTAAGTCCTCTCGGAGAATATAAAGACCTTATATTATTGTGAGACAAATGTTAATAATTAATCATTGTTTTATACATAGTTCTAATTACAACTAACCCTAATAAGTAACAAACGGAGCCATTGATAAATCAGTGAAATAACGGGAATTGGACGCAGAAAATTCAATTAATTTGAGTAGTAAAACTATCTAGCGTGAGCGTTATACAGTAAATTGTAATGAAGAAGATTTAATTGAAGTTTGTTGAAATATAATTTAATGCTAAACTATAAATCGATGTTTCAGAACGACGTATGAAATAACTTACAAAAGATTTTATGTTTTATTGGTCCTATATAGGTAATAGGGGAAAACATATTGATAAAATAACATGGTGTTGAATTTTGATGCGGTTTGAACCCATGCTAGTAACAGATGTTAATAACAAATGGCAGTGAATAAAAATTGGGTACTTTCCATAATAAAAAATAAATTATTATGACTGTTCAATGCAATAAAATATATGAAAAATATTCACACTTTCATTAATTGATTTTATGAGCAACTTAATTGTAGTATTTTTCCAGATAATTAAAAAAAATATGAATGCTGTTTGACACTTAAAAAACGTGACATCACAATCTCGTTCAAAATTCATAGAAAACTGTAATTTTTTGACAGTTCGAAAAAAATATTGAATTTGAGTAGTTGGCAAGTACCGAATTATGGCGTGAAATTCACACAAAAATTAAAATCAATTCGAACTCAAACCACCATGAACCACTTAAAATTTCACCATCAAAAGTATGACGAACCACATTAATTGATTTAAAGCCTAAAATTAAATTAAAAAAAGAAAGAAATTCCAAATCGTAAATCACGAATTTCTCCTCAAACGTAAGTAGAGCTGAGAAAATAGTTTTAATATAGATGATCTACACAAAGTGCCGCACGCACATGCTGCACTAGTAATTCCGAAGTAAAAATAAACTTAAATGAAGATACGAGTACAAAATAAGGATTCAATGATAGAGAAAAAAAAAATACCTAGAAAAATGAAGGATGTAGTCCCTAGGAACGACTAATGAAGCCATTCCTGTTCCTTAAACCGAAGCAGAAACGTTAACTTTTCTTTTAACTCAAGATGTCATTGCTTTCAAACGACCGGCTAACCGTCTAAAGCACGCTTTGTCCCAAAAAAAAAATATACTAAAACATCCAAAAAAACGAAACTCACCGTAATAAAATCACCAATAGCAGAAAAGAGTAATATCCCAAAACACTTTTTTAACACTAAACACTGCACAAACACGCACACATCTTTTACCGACTGTGGTTGCGAGGAACGTGCGCTCACGCAGGTAACAACTTGGCGACTGGTTAGATGTCAAGTTCGCAGCTAAGTTCGAAGCTATTCGGGTTATGTCGTTGCGGTGTCGCCGGAGTACTGGCTATTATGTTGGAGTATTATGTCAGGAAATATAATAGTGCCGTGCATGCCTTATAATGATTTTGTTTATAAACACTTCGATGTTTAGAAACGGCTTTGCAGGTTATATTAGGTGGTAATTTTAGGTTTATTTTTGTATGTCTTATCCATTGAAGGAATGTTTTGTAATCTCGATTTCTCCATAGTTATATTTTATACTATTTGGTTAGAACTATCAACCTTTAAGTGATTAAGATAATATCGTAGGTGCAATTTTTTAAAGAAATCTTGTTTATTGAATGCTTTATTAGTAATGTTAAGTTTTCATTAATGTAAGGAGTTGTGCCCGGTATATGGCAATAGGCTCACCCCCTATTACATAGGACTCATAACATAAATAGTGAAAAGTGAGTGTTACATTGCATAGTGGCTTAAGTGCTGTAACCCCTACCTACACTATCGGGGATAAAAAGGCGTGACGTTATGTTATGCTAAGACCTTGAGGAAATGACAAACAATTACGAAATGGTAATAAATGTATAAATAACAATTACTTCAGATATAATTGGCATACATCCTCTATCAACAGATCGAGTGAAGACAGAAGCCAATTTAAGTATAAAATAACAGAAACTATTTAACAAACAGATTAGAGAGCAGTAAAAGAAATAATTTTAATGTAATAAAACCACAATAGATGAACATGGACTTGAAATGAAGGGGAAAATGAAGAATGATATTACAATCAAGTCTGATTACAAAGCTTTACAAATAACTACAGATGGAATTACAAAAATAAAAATGACAAAATACCTCTTAGTCTACAAGATGAGTCGTTTTATAATAATATTTAAAAGGAATGTAATAATAAAATCCTTGTGGGTTTGGGTATAACTAAAAAAGTAAATTAAACTGTCAAACACCAAGCGGTCACCGGTGACCGCAACCTATTGTTCTATAATTGTGTCTACAAAACCGGTACTCGACGAGTTAAAGAAGTTTTTATAAAAACATCTACTGTATCTACAGTCTACACAAAATTTTGCATATAAAGTTACAAAAAATATCAAAGTAAATTGATTATTTAGTTTGAATAATCCATGCATTTTTTACAAAACAATAAAGTAATAGATTATATTTAAAGCAAACCCTAAAAAAGTAAATTAAACTGTCAAACACCAAGCGGTCACCGGTGACCGCAACCTATTGTTCTATAATTGTGTCTACAAAACCGGTACTCGACGAGTTAAATTGGATGTTATAATTTTCTGATATTATTATTATAACTAGCGACCCGCCCCGGCTTCGCACGGGTGCAATATGTATATACATATTTATAAACCTTCCTTAAGAATCACTCTATCTATTAAAAAAAAACCGCATCAAAATTCGTTGCGTAGTTTTAAAGATCTAAGCATACATACGGACATACAGCGAAAGCGACTTTGTTTTATACTATGTATTGATTGACTGCCTCGTTGCCAAGTGCGACTGTAAGGGGTCTCGGGTTTCATTTCAGGGCTGAGCAAGTATGGGTTTATAAAAAAAATTCTCATTAATAACTCGGAGACTGGAATTACGTTCGGTACATATGGCAAAAGGCTCACCCTGTATTACATGGAACTCATAACATAAATAGTGAAAAGTGGGAGTAACATTGTATAGTGGCGTTAAGTGCCGTAATGTGCACCTCTGCCTACCCCTTCGGGTATAAAAGGCGTGATGTCATGTAATGTGATGTTATGTTACAATTCAAGACCGATGTTTGAAAGAATTCTTTTGTTGAATATTTTCACGGACATTTTGTAGTAGAGAAATTCTTAACAAAGTTATGTGATAAGAATCAATTCCAATAATGAAATGTGTGGGCAGTCAATTAAATTGTAAACAGTCGCACAAACGAATGAAGAACACTTAAAATATGTCAGTGAAAAAAACACTGCGACAAACAACAAAAAAATGTTAGCAATGTTGCAATCGAAAATAATATTAAGCTTATGAATGAGTGACATAATAATTCCCATATATATTTATTGAAAATTCTCTAAAGATAGTTACATTTTTAAATACTACTTACAAAATAATAATTATTATTATTACCATATAAATTCTCAGTAGTAGCACGAAGTCTGGAATTGTGCCCGGTATATGGCAATAGGCTCACCCCCATTACATGGGACTCATAACATAAATAGTGGAAACTGGGTGTTACATTGTACAGTGGCATAATGTGCACCTCTGCCTACCCCTTCGGGGATAAAAGGCGTGATGTTATGTTATGTTATGTTATTATTACCAATACTAATATTCTAAAAAAAACTTCTATACGAGACGTGTTAAAGATGAAACAGAAAGAAAATGAGTCAGAAAGCAAACATACTTAGTATCAAATTCATTGCTAAAATAAGTTCATTAAAGTTTTTATGTATAGGTATACTTTCTAGAAACAAAGTGTTACTCCATACATCTGGGTACAGTTCTCATTGATTACACGCGCTGCTGACTGCCAGAAATGTGCGAGCGAATTCCACCACTATTTGCTGCTAATTAAGAACATAATTTACCTGCACTATCTGATGATGGATGCTTCATCTGATTAAATTGAAACAAAATGTGAATTTTATCGTAGAATGTGTGAGAATTAGAGTTTTATTGTATTTTGGTATCTATTAAAAGATATAGACTGCCTCGTTGACCGAGTGGTCGTAAGTGCTACTGCCGGGCAAGGGGTCTCGGGTTCGATTCCCGGGTTGTGCAAAGTATTACTGAGTTTTAAAAAATCTCAGTAGTAGCACAGAGTCTGGTAATGTGCCCGGTATATGGCAATAGGCTCACCCCCTATTATATGGAACTCATAACATAAATAGTGAAAAGTGGGTGTTATATTGTACAGTGCCATTAAGTGCCGTAATGTGCACCTCTGCCTACCCCTTCGGGGATAAAAATGCGTGACGTTATGTTATGTTAAAAGATAATCTGATTGCTTTATTGAACAAGTACAAGGTATTTATTCCATGATCCATAGAGTACCTAAATCTAAGATTTGTGTCTTAAAGACCTGAAGTTTCTGCTCCCAACTGTAGTAAAACCTAACCCTTCTTTTTTTATGATTCAAGAAGTTCAGAAGCCTCACTGATAATTGACGAGCATCAAGTGCTTTGTTCGTTGACTTGTAATGTCAATTTCAATTTTAATAGTCCCAAAGATTTCCTAGTTTAAAAAAAACACAATAGAACAAAAAATTCACCGTCCATATTATACAAGCATACTTCCTTGTCAGTAAAAGGAAATTAATCACTAATTTCAATTCTGCTTCATTAAGTAATAGAGCCCATGAACCTTGACACCGGATGACGTCACGCACCGTTGCATTTTTGACCCTGACTAATTTTTAGGAGGATTTTATGAAGGCAACCCTTTACTTGTTCGTTGGTCATCAACCTTGGTAGAAAATGGAACTTTGTTTTATAATAACTATCGTGAGATATACTAAATTAACTAAAAATCGCGGGTTACTCACGTGAATATACTGAGAAAAGATCTACTAGTTTCGGACCACAGACGGGTTCTTCCTCATGAGCAGCGTGCGCGGTCGCAGCAACTACTGGCGGCTAAAATATATGAACTTTAATAATAATTCATCAGTTGCAACTATTGTTCTATATTTAAACTTGATATCAGAACAGCGTTTCTCAAAGGAGTAGGTGAAGAAGTCGCAGGTAAAGTAAAAGTTGGTATTATAATCATACGTAAATGGGTGTATAATGAATGGTCTATTGTGGGTGCATTTACAAAATCATGTAAGTGTGCGGGAGAATTACACAATTTGATTCCCCCTAGTCCTTTCCATCATCGTACCACAAGACAATCGGCGAAGCGTCACCGATTCATGGTAGATGTTCCGCCCACACGCACGAAGCGCTTCGCTTCAAGCTTCCTTGTGCGTTCTGCTAAAGAGTGGAATTCTTTGCCAGAGTCCTTTCCTGAAGGGTATACCTGCGAGTCTTCAAGGCCCAAGTGAATAGATTGCTTATGAGACGACGTGCTCCATCGTAGACCGCATCACCGCGCTTACCACCAGGCGAGATAGTGGTCAAACGTCGCCCCATCAAATATTTAAAAAAAATACTCCTAAGAAGAAGAATAAAGAATGGCTTCACAGTTAAAAATTAAATCTAGAACCATATTCATGATTAGAAGTCTCAAGAGCTGCTACTAGTCTAACAGCACCGTTTATTATGGTAATGATAATAATTACAACTTAGAAGACAGGTCATCAAACAGTTCTAAACATGTTAGAACCGTTACAAACGGACGGACAGCACTTGACATTATTTTAACAAAAATTCAAAGAAATAATCACAGATAACATTACATTTACAACTTGACATACGTGTATAAGCAATGTTTTAAAATATACTTTTGACAGTTACGTTACCTACGTAGGAGACGAGACTATAAAACTTAAAGGTCGTACTACTGTGAATAGAGAGAATCTTTGAGGCATAAGAAAAGAAATCCCTTTACAATGGAATGAAATATGGAACATTTAAACAAGCCATCATTATTGAAGATATAAACATCAGTTAACTTAATATTATCAAGTCGTGGTGGCTCGGAGGTTTAAGACGCCCACTTCTCATGCATGAGGGTGCGGGTTCGAAACCTGCCAACGGCAAGTACCAATGTGACTTTTTCCGAGTTATATGTACTTTCTAAGATTATTTAGACACCTCTGACAAACGGTGAAGGAAAAACATCGTGAGGAAACCTGGACTTATAATTTCTAATTATAAGTTTGAAATCGCCAACCCGCATTGAGCAAGCGTGGTGATTAACGCTCTAACCTTCTT